CAATAATTCATTTTCGAATCGTAACGACTTTTTAAGGATAAAAGCTATTTTAAATACGACATAGGTAAATCGCGCGTATTAAGCAATGTTGCTTTAATGGACTTTAAAGAGTCCGATAACGAGAATAAGTGGTAGACGTCATTTAGGTTCTTGCAAACGACTCTGAGCGGATTGAACAGCTCATAATTAAATTTACACTGATTAAGCTTTACCAAGATAAAGTGCCTAGAGAAGCGGTTAGGGACATTGAAGCTTACTTCACCAAGTAATGAAGGCGAGTCAATAGCACCATTTATTACTTTAATTAGAAAGGAAACGCCAAGAACAAATCTACGTTTCTCAAGAGACGGTAGGGACAGCAGAAGCAACCTATTTTCATACGGAGGAAGAGAGGCAATCGGATCCCAACCCAAATTTCTAAGGGCAAACAGCAAGAATTGCTTTTGAACTGATTCAATTGAATCTACGTAGCACCTATATGAAGGAGACCACACAACTGAGGCATACTCGAGTATGGGTCTAACCAAACACATGTACAGCCTTTTCGTAATGTAGGGATCATCAAGCTCTTTGGACCACCTTTTTATAAAACCAAGCGCGGACCTAGCTTTGCTAATCGAGAGCTCAATATGCAAGTTAAAACGTAACCTATGGTCAAATAGGACGCCTAAATCCGTAATCGAATCGACGTCCTCCAACTTATGCGAATCTATGAAATACTGAGTAATGAATGACTTTCTTCTTGAGAATGAAAGCTTCTTACATTTACTCAGATTTAGTTGCAGGAGATTCAAAGAGCACCATGCAACAAAATTATCTAAATCACCTTGAAGCTGATGTGATTGCGATTCAACAGAGAAGGAAGAAAACAGTTTCACATCATCAGCATACATTAAGATATGGCTGGAATTAACCACCGATGGGAGATCGTTAATGTATAAACTAAATAAAATGGGACCCAAGTGACTTCCTTGAGGTACGCCAGACGTAACGGGGAATTCATCCGAGCTAATGAAGTTAAACAAAACTCTGAAGGATCTATTGTGCAGATAAGAGCTTATCCATTTCACTAAGTAGGGTGGGAAACCAGAGGCTTGGAGTTTAAAGATAAGTAGTCTATGGTTAACCAAATCAAATGCTTTGCTTAAATCAGTGTAAATAACATCTGTGCGAGAGCCACTAGAAAAAGCCTTGAAAACATGACAGGTAAACTCTAACAAGTTGGTGACTGTAGATCGCCCTTTCCGAAAGCCGTGCTGGTGCGGAGAAATATACGAATTAATGGCAAAGGCTAAATGCTGAGTCACAATACGCTCGAACAACTTGGGCAAGACACTCAACTTGGCTATGCCTCTGTAGTTCTCAACAAATTGTCTAATTCCACTCTTGTGGATAGGAATAAGGAAACTACTCTTCCAACATGAAGGGAAAACACCTGAACACAAGGACATGTTAAAAATCTTTGAGATCACACCACACAACTCGACAGCGCAAGATTTAAGTACACATGATGGAATTCCATCAGGTCCAGGCGAACAACTGTATTTTAGAGAACTTAACCCTTTGAAAACATCATCTTCCGAAATAACTAAGTTAGGTATTGAAACCGAGTTAGTTATAGGATATGGGTAGTTTCCTGATAACTCAAAATTAGCAATCGAAAAGTTTCGTCGGAAATACTCAGCAAATAGATTTGAGATTTCAAAATCATCCGAGGAACCAGAGCCATTAAAAGAAACATGAGAGGGATATGTGGAAATTTTTCTTTTAGAGTTAACAAATTTAAAGAAGAATTTTGGATTAGCAAACAGAGAGGATTTAATGAACTGAAGGTATCTGCAGTAATAATGATGGTTGAGGGAGTTAAATCTATGCCTCGCCACCGAGTAAGCGACATAGTCGAGCGCAGAGCCACTTTTCGAATATTTTTTGAATAGCGAGTTTTTTCTATTCTTGTGATATTTAATTGTCTTATTAAACCACGGGGGACATCTGCTTCGAGGTCGACAATGCTTGATCGGAACAGATGCAGCAATAGCTAGATTTAATGTATTGTAGAACGATGGCATTAAGTTTTCAATACTACCGGTTGAGAAATCAAGCGTCAGATGTGAAAGACGATGTTTTAGTAATACAATATTGATTTTATGAAAATCATAATAATTATTTAAACAAGTTTGAGTTGGCACATTAAGGCATTCCAACAAACCATCATTAATATGATGAAAGGAAATGCATATTGGTGGATGATAAGGATCCTCAGGTAAACTAAAAGGTGGGCAACGATTTACGTAAATCTTATTTTTATATATTAAAAGAACAATCTACATATGATTAAAGTCAATAGGAAATAAGGAAAAAATTTTTGAATACTGGGAACTTGGAGCATGGGCTTGCAACGGCAACTACGCGCAGTCCCCTTCTAATATAGTGCCTCTAAATACCATTTCTACAACTTATAGTAAAGCAATGGGTGCTGAATTGTGTACGATTGCCGAGAAGAATAATACCGTACATAACTGAATATGAAAAATGGCGAAATTTTTTCTGGACTAGTCTGTGTAAGATAAGTAATATTTAAATGGTAAAGAATAGCAGCATCTTTTAGCTGAAAATAAGCAAAAAGAAGACGATCGATCGCTTAGTCAAGATTAGACCGCGTCTTTAGCTCAGTCTCTGGTGAATGCTTTATGTGATTTGTTATTCCGATGCTCTGATTTTGCATTAATTGCAGTGGTCCTAACAAGGACCAGCGGACTTCGCCGACAGTCCATCCAAGCTGCAGAATAGAATTATTGAAATTGTTGTTAAATAGATTTTCATGCTTCAGCATCCAAAACGACGGTCATCTAAATTTATTAATGTTATATTAATCAAGGAAGAATATTAAATATTAATCATTAATTCGTTCCGTTTTAACGGGCTATTTTATAACTTGATCTGCGACCATCGACTAACACTTGTTGTGTCAACAGACAATTAGTGAGTTGGACGGACAGGCATAGAGAGAATCTAGGCAAAACTAAATCTCCTTTTTGCTTTAGATACAATTTTATAGAGACTTGTCATGTACCTAAGCGAAAGTCAAGCAAGAGAAACCCTTACTAACACATCAGATATGTATATGATAAATGCAAGGGCGTACAATTGGCAACTGATTTCAAAGCCTTTATAGGGTCTGTCTAGTGCAGGGAACGTTCAAGTTCTCTAAATTTATTATTGTCCTCCATTATGTCGAGCACTACAAATGCGCAAACGTTATTCACCGTCCAACATTTATTTTCGGCTGATTTATTTTCCGTTTGGTCAGTTTGCAATTCACAGAAGGTATATGGAAAATATTCGTGTCATGCATATTATTAGACGAGTCATTGTAAACCTGCAAGAATAAAAAGAAATTGTGGAAGGGTATTTTAAAAATTTATTTTTTTTATTCTATATTAAAAAAAAACAAGCAAAAAATGTTGAGACACTATAAAAAACTATAAAAAATAAAAAAATGAATGGAGAATTTAATGTTAAGTACTCCAAAAATTAAAAAGTAATCGAAAAAGAATAAAATTAGGTAATTAATAAATGCATAAATGATTGAATAGAATTAGAAAAGCAATCGATTGAATATAGGAAACTGATCATTTTCTTTAACATTTGAATGTTAAATAAAATATTTTTTAATATACACGTATTAAATGTGCAACTAATTATATATATTTTTTGCAAACTTCTACCTTCCTTTATTAAATATTATTTATTACCTGATATTTTCAAATATAGTAAATTTTAGTGGACTTGTTTTTAATTTTTTTTTTTTTGCTAATTTCTTGTGCACTTTTTAAGTTCAACGCATTCCGGCTATAACACATAATTAAAATTATTTACAAAAATTGTCTTAAATCATATAAATATAAATGTAATTGTTTTTTTATTCTAACTTAATCATATTTTTTTTTTAAACTTACTTAACTAATATGACACTTTAGTAAAAAATAATTTTTTTTTTTTTTTTTGCTTATCATTTTTGTTCTAATTTGTTGTCCAATATTGCACTAAAATTTTAATTAAAAAGCATTTAAATAAAATAGTCTAAAATATAATACATATATGTTGTATTCACATATATCTTTACTCTTAAAATTAATATTCCTTAAAAGTTCTCTAAAATAGCTTAAAATTTGTCTTTTTCTAAATATATTTAAAGCATTTTTGTTTATCGTGTGGTATGCGAGTTTTAAATAAAATCGAATCCGCTCGATACTGTGTATTTAAGAGAGGCGTATAACCAAAAACCTTCAACAAAAAAAGAGACTTAAATAAGATATTTTATGAAAATTTCTTACGATGCATACCTGCGTAAAAAAATTGATGCATTTATGGCGCTCCTGGAAATGCGTATCATCTTCACTTAATGACACCGGACAACCCGGACACCTGAACGTCCATCTAGAAGTTACTTTTACCGGAGGTTTCCGCGTTATATGCGAGACGAGGAAATTCATAGCTATGTCTTCACAATTCATATATTCGTCCACTTTGTCGCGTATGGCTTGCGGTAAATGATAAGTGTACAAGTACATATAATATTTATGTATAAAAGCGGCCCCTGTTAAAACCATACTCAATTCGCAGCTGTAATTGGAATTGTAATTCCAGTTGTGATTCGTATTCAAATCCCAGGCATGAAAGCGTCCCGGGAAGCCGACAACTCGATCACGGTGCTCGCGCCATACGCGAAAACCAAATAAAATCTCATCGTGTCTTAAATGAGCATCATCGTCTACTGATAACACAGCTTCAGTTTCAACGACATCGAAGGGAAGAAAACGATTATTGAGAGAGTTACGTGGTGCTCTTACTACAGCCACAGGCACTCCTATATCGGGCCACCTTAAATCGTCTAAGGGCGGTTTTGGTGAATTCCATACCACTACTACCTTATGCAGATAAGGAAGACCATATAAACGCCCTAGTGAATCCATTAATACTTGTTCGCGTTCATAGGTTAATATAACTATAGTGAATTGTTCGCGGGGATGATTGCCGCCCAAAGCTTCACTAAATTCTTTACCGGCCCCACCGCTGCCTTTACCGATAGGACGAAAACCCATATGTGAACCCAGAAACTTAGCTTCTGAAGGCAAAATCGGATCAAATGGCAATTGGGGATACATGTAGAAAGGATCTACCCAATCATTCCAAGCCTCCTTAGATTGTATTCGTAAAATTGTGTAATTTCTTCTGTAGGCTGGGCTGCTATAAGGAGGCTCAATGGGACCCAAAGATTCTTCTGGTTCGTTCTCCATACCTACCGGAGGATCAGATTTCAACGGTATAAAAGTGCTATTGAAAACACTTTGCGCAATCACTGGTGACACGGGACGTGGAGGCACTCCCAAACGATCTCTTAGACTAGCTATAATGGTGTCTACTGTGGCCTGCACTGAACTTAAATAGCGTTCCCATACCAAACGTCCTTGACGGCGCATCAGCAATAAATCGCTATCTTGTATAGCTCTTAACAAAAAGTGCAATTCGGTTATCCGAGCCTTCGGCAACAGCAAAGTCAATTTACGCCAATCTATCGTTTCGATATATGGTAGCCGTACCTCGTCTGCACCCAATATAACCGGTATAGCACCTGAGCGCAAAGCCTCATATAATCTGGCCAACATAAGTGTGGAACTAATTCTTCGCTCTAAAGGCGGCAAGATTAAAGCGAAGGTAGAATCTTTTAACACAGCTTTACGTGACGAATCGGTACCACAGAGAGCCCAATCTGCTGCAGCATTTTCATCCATTTGCTCGGTTGCAGGAATGCATTTAAATTGTAATAGGAACTTATCCTGAGTAGCGCCTCTAACCATTTCTAACAAATGGTCCAATATGAAATCATCTAGAGGTTCAGCTGATTGTTGGCTGGAATCCAAAGGTCTTAATTCACCTTGAAAGGATAGCAAATAAGTACGCCTTGCTGGTACCATAGACGTACATTCCTGCCACACATCTCCGCCTGGTGGTCCTAGAATAGGAGGAACTATCAAATCGTAATTAGGTCTGAATTGGGATAATTCAAAAGCCGATTGCACTAATATGGCGCGCATAGTATTCTGCCCGAACAAAGCATTTGTGGAACGTGAATTCAAATTTCGTCGAGCAAAATTCAGAAGTACGTGATTACGACCATCTCCTCCCCAGAAAGGCAAGCGATAGAGTTTCGCCATATCAACGGTTTCATATTTATCCGTTAAAGGCCTGGCAGATACTCTTTCTTTTTGGTCTTCCTCCAAAGCGGAATAACGATTATTCTTCGTCGCATCATTTTCGAGTAAAGCCTCTCCAACCAAAACTAAATAAATGCATGCTTGTTTTGGATCGCGAACGAAATGAGCATTATAACCTAAAGTTTGCTTTATCGTGGTACGCATGAAACCGTCAATATCATAGCCCGTTTTCAGAACATTATATACATCGGGATCATAAAGGTAAACCGGAAAACCGGAAGTTAAACTGCAACGTGAATGGTCGAAACAATTGTGCATTTCGCAGGAGATGGCGGTTTGCATTGAAGCAGGTGGCATTTTGCGAGGCAAGGAGTTGGGAAATAGCGTACGCGGCAAAGCCAAATCGGGAGTATTTCGTTGTACGGCCTCACGCTGAGCTACTTGAGCTTGCTCTACGGATATCTTTAAACGTTCCAGCTCAGTTTGTTCACGCATCAGCTCTTGTTTCAGTTCCTCAATTTTTTGATTGTACTGACCGATGTCGGATTGTAGCTTTTGGCGGCGTGCTTCCAACTCACGCAATTCCACAGAAACAGTACTCTAAAATCCAGAAAATAACGTTTATTTCTTAATTAACGATGTAAACATACTAACCTTTATTCTTAGCAACTCCTCAATACGCATTTTTAAATCGCTTGCTCGCATAGAGCTGAAATCCTCGTATGCATCTAATAAAGGACGAGCATGATGCATATCCAATTGAGGCTCATCAGTATCAGACTAAATAGAGAAATTCTATTTAATTAGAACCCATATGCACATAAGGGAACGATATCGCTTCGCTGTTCTTACATTTAATAAATTGCGATGAGCAAACAAAGGCAGCAACACCAACAGCAACAAAATCGCCAATATAGTCTTATACATGCGATAATGACGAAACCAGTTACACTTACCATTACCACATAAACAAGTTACAAGACTGCTCGAGCTTGCGGATGTTCCAGCTGAACCGTTTAATGAGTTTGCACTTAAATACTGTTGAAATTTACCTAATTTCTCAGATTCGTCGATTACAAGAAATGTGCTACTGCTGGCAAGATTAGCAACGTTATTGCTGAATTGTTCGCTTATTGGATTCTTTGTTGATTTGATTTGCGAAAAGCCCTATTAAAAACATAAAAAACAAGTAGATGTTTTGCTTCTTTTTTTTTAATTTTTAGTAAATAATAATTTTAACCTATTGTCGCATTCATCACTTATTTTGAATAATTCTTGTGAAATTCTGGGAGTCCGCTTTGCTTTCTTGCTTTGCCCATAGCCTCGCAAACACTATTACCTTCACCATAAATTCACGCGCTATTAAAAACAATTTTTATTGCTTTTCGTAAGTTAAAAATAATTAATGAAATAGAGACTCTATTGTGTTCCTAATAATGTGAGCGTTGAAAAAATATGAAACTTTTCTTGTTACTTAAAATTTGCCCTAAATCGCTTCTACCTACATTAGAAGAAATTTTCGTAACCCTTCCTCCTTAACAAATTTGGTATTTATAATTTAATTCAATCTACATTATCGCTCCTGAAAAACGTTACGCACCAGTTTTTTTCTAGTCGCGGAAATTGTCTTAGAAGATTCATCATCATCATCATCATCTCGACATTTTGACGTAAGTTCGTAGGTCGTCATCTTGTACACAAGAAAATATCAAAACTTTCTCCTTAATGTTACACTTAAAGTTATAATATTTTATATAATATATTTAAATAAAACATCTTTTTGATTTCTGCATTCAAATATTTGCAAATTAAAATTTTTTCTATTATGTACGAGTGGTTTTGGCAAAAAACAAAATTAGCAGCTGATTGAGATGTCAAAAATTAATTGCTAAAAACATCTGAAAGACAGCTGACTTTTCTTTACAAATAATTATGCAGGGTTGTAATTTTCGGTTTTTTGCAAATTAAGTTCTTGTTGTAGAATATTGTTCGCTCAGTAAAGATTACTTGGCAGCATTAAATTTTTTATAAAAAGAAGGATAAATTTATTATTATTATTATTATTAATTTCGCCAGAGAAATAAATTCTAAGACTAAAACTCTTAAAAGCACTAGCATCTAAGGCTATCGGCTTTTTATTAAAAACTCTACCGCACTTGAGATTCGAACCCACGACCATTGACTTGCTAGTCGAGATTCCTCCCCTTCGGCTACTCAGGCGGATGGGGGATAAATTTAATTTATAAATTTTCATATATATTATAAATAAAACTTATAAATTTATAAAATTTATAAATTAAATGCATCCCCCGGACCTAGCAATATAAGCAAAGCTTTATTGTGCCAGCTCTCATATTGCAACAACAATGGAAATATAATATAGAAACATGGCAATAATCCCTGCAATAAGTACATCCTACTTTATTCTTTCTGTAACGTGCGCAACATCCGAGTTTGTAAGCGGGGCGGGTTTTTGGTATTCAATTTTATTGGAAAATATGCTTTTATTATCCCATCCAATTTAGAAAGAAAATGAAGGAAGCCATAATGTCTAAAAATGTCAATAAGATCGTAGATGCTTTAAAAGGAAAATCATAAAACGTGTATAAGTTAAACGTTCAAATCCTTCTACTTAATTTTTGATTGTTTCAAGTTTGATCTGTGATTTATATTTCAAGGAAACGGGATAAGAGTTGATTCAAATCACTTTTATAGGCTATACGCCTTCCAGTGTTACAAACCGAACCACAAATTTAGTATAAAATCCTTCGCTAGAGGTTCCAAACAAGACATTCGTTGAAGAGTGCCAGTCGCTAATTCCCATCAATTCAGTTAATTGACGCAATCTCTTGTACAAAGTCCTCTCGGGTGACTGTAGAAAATATCTTTTTCCTAGTTTTGAATAAACACACGGATAGAAAGGTTCTCAACATCTTGCGAATTCGAATCTGGTAAATCCCCTTCCCCTGGCCTTGTCGCATTTGAAATGGAACACTTAGAATGGATTTCCGAATATAAAAACCGCTATGTTGAAATACTCACACTACGTAAATATACAATACTCAGTTAAATATGGATACGTTAGTCTAAAGAGGAAAGTGCAAAGAAAGTGTTTAAACTCGTAAGTTTTGAATATCTCTATGGTTAATTGTAAAAAAAAAGTACGAAGTAACTCTCCAATTCATGTTAATAGTGTATTTAGAAAGATTATGAGATTTGCCGATGCTTACCACGCTCTGAAGTGTTTATTGTAAATCGAGCAATAATGCAATATGTACGAATATATAATAACATAATATTTGAATTACATTCCGTTTTGATTTATAACAAAATTATGGTACACATTCATGGCTCGTTACTTAGGTCATGCAGCTGACGACTGGCGAAAAGATTAACAATAACTGGCAGAAATTTAGCGGAAAAACCGAATAAAAAACGTCCCGATAAATTTAGGTAATTGGAGTTCGCTTGCAAAAGGGTATGTAAGCAAAATATTAACGGAAAGGAAAGTCTGTCGAAAAGTCGGCCAGAGGGTTGAGTCAAAGCGAATTGAAGCGTTGCAAATTTTAATCCCTGAAAATGTTTTATAAATAGATTTAGTAAGAAGTGTCATTAAAAGCTAGACTATCCTATATATCAACCAAAAGGAGCAACACAGAAATTATGCTTGTATGCAGAAAATGGAAACAAAATATCTGAGCTAACGGAAAAGTTAGCTGGAACGAGCTAAAGTTAGAAAATAGGTTTTTGTTAGAGTTTCCCTGAAAATTATATAAACCTCGGCCTAATATTGGAATCGATGCCTACTTTTACTAACCTCAAAACGAAAAGAAACTTCTAAAAGCAGAGATAGAAACGGAAAGAAACTACGGCTTAGGACAGACATATCCAACATTAAGAAAATCTTGGATGATTTGCTAAAATATCTTAAATTGGCCCTTATACGGCTTGTGAGTAAATGAAAATAAATAAAAAATAAAGTGCGCACTAGATTCTTAGGAGCGAAGACGGGAGTGAATGCTACCAAGAAAAGCTTTTTTAAACTTGCACATCTAATGCGACATTGATTAATTTGAATTTTGAAGGTGCATGGTGTATGGACGTAACTAACCAAAAACTTATTGCTCTTCTTAAATGATGAACGGTCTCAAATTCATGATCAACATATTGAAATGTTCACTTGTTGAGTTTGATGGAGTCATTCGTTTGCTTTCGGAACATGGCCAGAGTTTATAATCCTCCATCTACACCAAAATGAAGCAACATGTTGGACAGAGAAAGAGAGAGAGGTAACCAATAGCTTAATTGGCAATTTGACTTCAGAAAATAAGCGAGAAAACCGTTCCTCTACTGCACACAAAAGTAAAATTAAAATCTAGCAGATGTATTTGTTTATTTATTCTTAACTTAATAATGTTATTATTAATTATTTTTATTTTATTAGATTGATTTTTTGCTTAATTTTATGTTATCATTAAATATATAGAATATAACAAAGTTCTTTTTTGTGTATACAATTTTATATACTTCTCAAGAGGTGTATAATAATTACTTAAAACTTAGTTTCATTTAATTACATATACGGTTGAGTGTAACTAAAAATAAAAAAAATTAAAAAACAATATACACAATGAAATATTTGAAAATTAAGAAGTCTCTACAAGAAAGAAATAATTCAGTGTAAAATTTAAAATTTAAATAAATAATATAAACAAATCGTTGCGAAACGATAGCAATAAATAACTTACACTGACTTGAAGGAGGGAGGTATCTCGGTCTTACGCAAATGATTAATTTATTAAAAAAAAAAGTTGTATAGAAAATAAATGCAAGAAAATAACTGCAAGATTACTTTGAACAATTGAGTATTCGAACGGAGAACACTCCACACCGTTGCTCTTATAATAAGTAAGCGGAGGCGTGCCTGCTCGCGCTAAGACGTTAGGCGAAATCAACATGAATATATGTTCAACATAGATAATTTTAAGGATGAATCAAAATGAAATTCGGCCGGATGTGGCTGAGAAATAGAAATAAATTGTTCGCTCGATATATATACAAATTGTTTTAATCGGAAAGTAGGTCAAGTAGGCAGCTTGTTATGAGAGGTTCAACGAAAAACGACGGGCAGACCTATATAGATTTATATCTACTAGTAATATTTTATTTTAATGCTTATTTAAAAATTGGCAAAACTTTCTATATATATGTATACATATACGAATATATGTATATCGACGTGTTTCAATGGCGATAACGAATCCAAGTGTGTCCTGATATGCAATATGCAGTGTGTAGAGATATGCAATCGAGACGCCATAAATCTATTTTGTGAGCACAAGGCAAGTGAAATCAAAAAAAAAAAAAAAAAAAAAATGAAGAGAGTTGTTTTTAAACCAAGCTCCCCGTAATGTAAGTTATTTCTAATGGTTTTGTTAAATTAAATAAAAATTATTTCTGTTTTTTTTTTCTTTGTAGGAATTTTCTTTTCATAAGATCATGACTCTCAACGACTGTCATTTCCAACTTACGTTAGTTGTACAACCGTTTTCGAAGGTAAAAATATAAAATAAAAGATTTCACATCGAATAACAAAAAACAAATTGAAAAACCAATCATTGGTTTTAATGATCCTGTAAACTTAGTTTCAAAGCTTGTTCAATCATTTCCTGTTCACGTTGTCGCTCCATTTCATATTGCTGTTGATCTTGTTGGCTTAAACGTAATGCCAGTGCCAAATCAGGATCAATATACTTGAAGCCGCCATCATCGTCGTCGGAAGCCGGTGAACTTGCAGTATGAACTGCGTACAAAGATTCTTGTAGAACTCTAGATAAATTCAAGGAAAAGAAAAAGCGAAAAAATAAAGAGTGGAGAGTTTTTAGGCGTTTACATTAGCAATACTCGGGACATATATAAAGTAGTTCTACGTTAATGGGACGATTCTAGCCAGTAAATGTGTGTAATTAAAGCAACGGCAAGGGCAGGTACTACAATTTCTACTATTTAAAGATTTTTTTCATATATGCCATATCATTCTTAAAGGAGGGACTGTTTGGAACTGAGGTGGAACGAGTTTTCGACAAATCACTGGCGCTCAGCGACAAGGTGTCTCTCGCATTTCCGTGTCCTTGTTTTGCTGGCAGATTAGACGAAGGGCTGGGTGATGTAGGTTTCGGTGTATTTCGACCAAATTGGAAATAGTTTTGCGGCGATAAACGATTAGAACGAGCCTGATTGGAATATGTTTTGGGTACGTTAAGTCTGAATTAGCAGAAATTATTTTGGATAATAAGATTTTACATAAGAAGAGAAGAAAAGAAACGGAAACTAAACATTAAATCGGTAACATGCGTATATTAAAAAGAGAAACTAATTCGAAGAGAATTTTTTTACATCCTCATCTCGTCAAATAATTATTAATTCGGAAACTAATTTTGTTCAAATGCAATAATAATCTGCTAGAAATTATTCTGGAATAATTAATAATCACAATAACGATCGCAGAAAATGTTCTATGCCATAGAAATAATTTCAAGTCGAAAATCAAATATTCTTCAAAATTGACTTGCCCCTGAGAGAAAACCCTTGTTATGACCTCTTGTTACCTTTGACATCCGCGTATTAGTGCAATAGTATTATTAGCGTTTTACCCCCCTTAATTAATTGAGATGAGGATATAAAAGCCAGTCATATTTAGATAAAAAATTGTAAGGACCCCCACCTTTGCAATTGTTCATCTTCATCGGTAAGGAAATCTGTGCCTGCCCCCTGGCCTCTTAAAGCCTCCCAAATATCAACTTTATCAGACGAATTTTGTTCCATCGGTAAACCGAAAGCACCGGTGCCACCGACACCAGCTGACTCAGCTAAGCTCTGCTCAATGGCATACTGCAACATATCATCTTCATCCAAAGCTAATTGCAAACGTCTGTTGTCAGAACCTATAAATTAATTAAATCCAGTTAAAAAGGAATTATTTTCTCAATAAAATGTTTACCTTTATCTGCATAATGTTCTGGTACATCAAAGCAACGATCATCTACGATGCACGTGATACGATCATCTTCGTTGATTGTGGACACATTTTCCACTGGTGTGGTCATACCGAAAACGTTCCCGAATGTTATACAAGCATTTAAAACGTGAAATAAAGGTATTTCGACTTTCACGGGGAAACCGGAAGGCAGTTGCATGGTAATAAAGTCTTTCAATTTTGAAACGTGTGGGCTGGCCATTGTGGACATTAAGTCTAAGATGGGAAGTACTTGTTCCTGCAAACGTATGGGATAATCTTCACAAAGCCATAAATTTGCTTTAAAACGCTGAATCTATAAAGCAATAGCGAAAATATAACAACAAAAAAAACAAGTCATATAATGTAAAGTTAGACATACTTTGGTGTTTAGTTTTCTAGGCTGTCCTATATCTCGTCCAGTTAAATCTACCTCTGGTGAGAAATATTCTTGAGGTGTTATGATATTCTTCGAAGAATTTACGCCGGAATTTTGCGAGTTATTTACAGTTAAAGCTGCGGCTGCTTCACCATTCTCATTATGCTCTTCGGTGTGCGGCGATGGATCCTTTGGGAAAATTTGCAATATTTTTTTAAGATAATTAAATAATATTTTATTATTGTTAGTTACTCTTTCTCTGTAGTTAACTAAATCTGGACTTGTTATATATTCTTCCTCAGCTATGCCCAGAAAACTATGAAATGGTGTCCTTGATGTTTTGGCCTGAAGATAGTAAATAAATGACAATCAAAATCTTTAATTCCGATAGATTAAACAGTTTTTTAATTACCTTAATCTGTTCATCACTCAGATGATCCATGCGAGTTTTAGTAACAAACTCTACGTTACTGGCACCATACACTTTGCAGTTATAACCGTTTATTACTTCAGATTTTTCACTGCGCCAACCCCAAATGCCACTTTTATTACGCTCAAAGCTAATCTTTTCCATTTCAATATTATTAGTAATCACAGGAGCATTCAAACGGGCTCTAACCGCTCCTATAGGCGGCGGTATCGCGACTATATCGCCGATTTCGCTGTTCATTTGCTCCACCATCACTTCATGGGTGTCATGATCGATTTCTATCATAGTGGCACTATCCTCTATTAAAAAGAAAGAAATCATTTTATATAGTTATTCATATTGATTAGGTCACAAGCAAGGTCTTTCTGTTTGAAGCTGAATACCACCACCACATTAGGAAGCGAAATTTGATATAAACATTTTTACTAAGGATTTTCTCAAGCTGGCATATAGCTCTTAAATTCAGGACCTTCGTTAATAGACAATGGATGACAGGCAGACGCGTGTTTTCTAAAGTGGACTCTAAATATACTCAGAATTCGAGTCGTTTTTTTTGGGGCTTGGCATCATAATGTGTATGTTTAAATCTGCGCTTATGGTGGATATAAAAATATATTAAAATTCCTACTTGATCCTTTAAATATGTAGGAACGATTCCCTCGTTGCCAGGTATTATTATCGAAACCCAACAAAGTAGTGTCAATGCGTACATTTGCACCTCGCTTATATACTCTGTAAATATCACTGGGACATAAACGAGACATCAGAGGCACTGAAAAGGTAATAAAGAAATAAAAATATAAAAAGTAGAAAGCCTGGTAAAGTGTACTCGCCCCAAGAAGTAAATTCCCATTTCATTTCGATATAGAAATCTGGTGCATCCAATAAATGCCGCAGCAACTTGGGTACATGAGTTACACGTTGAACATGTCGTTGTAGGTCACGCACTTCTAATATGGCAGTTAATATATTTTCGTCACCCGAACAGACCGCTTCCTGTACAACTATAAAAATAAACGAATTTTAGCACACTTTGTGTTGTTTGTCTATTCATATTTTGCACTTACTTGACCAACCCTCATGCTCGTAAGTAGCTGAACATTTGGCAACTAGTAAACATTTTACACATTGTAAATGTGCTAATTTAACTGCTAACATTAAAGGTGTACGACCGCGGGGATCTATTTTTTCTTTATCCACCTGTAAGAGGAATAATTGAATGACAACAAAAACAAAACTAACAATCAGCGCTTGATAAACAAAAATGTGTAGTAAAGCACTTAAAAAGCATGATTTTTGTTATGCTTCTAATTAAATTAACAAACCGTTCACACGGGGATAGGTACGAATAGATATTTATCCACAATATGACCCGAAAACCTTAATAAACACATAGGGGTAATGTGTCTTTCCCTTCTCTCCCACTTTCATTCCTTTTTTTTTTTTCTTTTCATGTTCTTACCCTTTCCAACTGTAAAGCTTCTCTGAGTTCGTCTACATTATTTTGCCACACATGCCAATGCAAAGGATATTCGTTTTTGATCTCTTCAAAAGTTTTCATAATTTTCCACTTTAAAAATATTGTTAGTTATTATATATATTTAGCGTTTTTCGTAGTAAACGCTATTTTTTTTCTTTTTTTTTGATTAGCAAGCAATTTCCCACTTCTTGTATGTTCTTAAATTGTCTATGCAATTTCTTTTGGTAGTTGTGTTGGTGCGCAAACGTTTTACTGCTCGGAATTTATTATCTTGTGGTAAAATAAAAATTTATTCACTGTTTTGGCGCTTTTTCTTAAATTATAATAATCTACTGCTTAAATGTTTTAGTTTCCATATTTTTTCTTTTTTAAATACAGTTATAGTTTTATTTATAACATTTTTAATTAAAAATCGTCAAGAATCACTAAAAATGTAAATTTTAAGACTTCTATAAATAAATGGGTTGCCAGGTCTTTTAATTTTCTAAAGATAACAAGATTACTTGTGACGAAAATATAAAAGTATGAAAATAGAAAAAGTCAATTACAATAAAGTAGATTTTTTAGACATTTCGTAAAATTTTCATAAAAAAGCATGTAATACATAAATCCTGTATAAAGTTTTATGTGCTTTACTAAAAAAAACAAAAGAATAAAGTTTACGAGTTTAAGTTTTGTGGCAGTCCTCAAATTAGAAAAAGAGATACATATAAATAAAAAATATGAGCTAAATTTAACAGTCAGTCGTTAACCAACACTGCTCGGTATTTGTTTGTTTATGAATTGATTGAACGTACTTTTCAATCAATCAATTGAAGAACAGCTGTCAAATAGCGGTATAAGGAAAGAAAATTTCTGTTCGGATTTCAAGAGAAAATTAATGTCTAGTCTGATTTTTGTTTAATTTATAAGAAGAATATTTATAATTTATGAAAAAAAATTAAATAAATACCAAGAAAAAGTAAGTATAAAAAACGTAAAAAGCTGCAAATAGTTATCATAAACTGATCTGTCAAAAAATCTTGTGATTAAAAGTGCAAATTTTTTTTTCTATTAAAACATTTATATTATTGATTGATAGTGGTAAATTAACATAAATTTGCGCGTTTTCAATTAATTTGACTTACAATGTTCTATGAATTAATGTAAACCTCAAGTTTGTTATTGTTACGAAGAGATTAACTCTTAATCTACGATATTCCGTTTTAAGTGTGCTTACACAATTTCCTCATGTTTTGTAAAGGCAATCCATTTTATAATCTTCAATTTTCAACACAAGGGTATCGTATTGTATTAACTGATATTGTATCGAAGTGGGAAGTATAGCATCCCGTTCCACACGATAATATATGTAAACGTTATGACATAATATACATATACATTGTGTTAATACATTTTAAGGTTTGCACAAATTTAGACGCATTGCATTACCTTCGTCATACCCATATATACTGCGGATTATTTATTTTAGTTTTATTTTGATTCAAATCTATTTGCAACATCTGTTGGCAATGTTCCTGACATATACACGAAGTGTTTAACTTAGTTCGTCGAACGATTTGTAACAAACCTAACTGAATATTTACAAAAGGAAGAACATAAATTCTGGTTACATTTTTTATATATAGTTATACATTACTAGTAGGAAATGCACAATACAAATTTTATCCCAGACGTGACCCCTAAAATTCTTATTAGAATTCTTGAATATGTTAAGCGCTCAAAACACTTTTCTGGTCGTATGCTATACTTTTCTGGTCATATGCTATACTTTTCTGGTCGTATATGTTATTAGGCAACTATTTTGAAAATGATGCAAAATCAACTAATAACTGTTGATTGCATGTGCAACAGTTGCTTTGTCTGCTATTTTGAAAAGGAAAAAAATACATATTTGAAAATAAAATTCTTATGCTTGTGAAGAAAACTTTTTTTTATTTATTATGATTGTTTGCATTTTCTCTTTTCAGGTTCACTCGTTTGTCTCTTAAACGTTGATTTGTGGCGTTAAAATTTTCTGCAAAACAACGTGAATTATTTTAATACAATTTTAGAAAAAAAAAGTAAATTACAATTCACATCAAATGGACAGTAATTAAATTTAACAAGTATTTTATACTTTTTTTTTGTTTTTCGTATTTATAAGTAATTTTTATTATTGCTTTTTATACCCACTACTGGAGGATAAATATATACAGAATTGTCTTCCTGTTTGTAGTAATCACAAACGCAAATAAGCGATCCGTAGAGTACAGAGACGAGAGAGCCATCAACATGTCCGATTATTGGTGTCCCGAAAGTAGTTGTAAGTGAATTACAAAGTTAGGCTATTATAGTATACAGCGCAAGTATTTCTGAGAATTGTATCTAAATTTAGAACTTTTCCTTCTCACTTGAAGCACTTCTTATAACTAAACTTAAGCTAATTTGATGCTACTTTTCAGAGCAGTCTTTCAATTTCCAATTTCCAAATGTTGCTTGTGTTATTTGCGTTCAAGTCTAATGCCTATGAATGGAATTGTCGAACAAGACCCGCTTCCAGTTTTGTTTTTTCATAAACATTTATATGCGAAACCGTTAAAGGTGCTCTGAAAATTTTGAACGACGACATTCTCTTAAAAGCACACATACAGTTCAAGCTAAAACTTATGTGCTGAATAATGAATGTGTAAACTTAATCATTAATTTTTCGGTGAAATTTTCTCCCAAATAAGTGTAAGCCTCTAACCGAATGGAAAACCAAATGTTATCACTCAAACGATCGGCACCTCAATCGCGTCAGATACTTCTTGCCTTTTTACTTCTCTTCAAACTTAAAGCATAATCTACTAAGAGAAGTAGAACGAGTTTAAGGCCCCTATTAATAATTTTGAACGGAATTTACTGGGCAGAAGAAAGAAACTACGACATTTAGTAGCACTTCTGCTATGAAGAAATAACGACTTGATGGTGGTGGTGGGTAATCAATATTCGTTTTAAGGCGAATAAAATTTTCTCATTATTTTCATGTTTTCAATTTATTTACTCATTTTTCAACTGCGTAATATGACAATTCACAACAGAGCAAAGGAAAAACAGAGCAATTAAAATTTGTATATTAAGACACCTCGGCGACATGTGTATAAAACACTATGGAAGTGTAAAACATTTGTGTAAAGAGCAACTTTAGTGGATCTACGTATATATACATATGTATATACACATTAGTTGTATCACTACGAAAACATAATAGTTACTTCCATCCATTAAGTGTTTTTGAAGTTAATTCGTTTCAAAAGATATGCTTAATCTGAAATCAGTATATGTAAGCGATTATTACTAGAAATCTCAAGGTCTTCATTTTTTAGTAATTGTGTATTCACCTTAACCTTAACATTATTATTTTCAATGCTTTTGCACTGGGACTTAGTTTTCTTGCTCTTCACTGAGTATACACGACAAATGAAATGCTCTTTAAGACATTTTTTTCTTCATTGTTCGTAAACGAATCATTTGAAAAAAGAAATTACATTTCTAAGCGCAATAAGAGAATCAAGTAAATGGAGAGTTTTCTATAAGACTCCACGTTAGTGTACGGTTAGCACTGTATCGTGATTAGGTGGTCTATAACGTTTCGCTTTTACCCGGACATTAGAAACAGTGTATAAAATAATTTTTAATATAATTGTAATTGAACTTTGTTTTTAATTTTATTTAAGAAAATTGCTTGTATAGAGAAATAAGATTTCGGAAATTGTTAAATGTTTCTAATTAACTATAGAACACCATAATGTCAATAACAAATTCAAAGGCGAAAAGTGTCTAATAACGTATTGATGGTTCTTGTCACACATTTACTCGCTTCCTAAAATAATTAAATTCGATCTTTTTAATGTAAGCAAATGCTTTTCGTAAACTTAATGCAGACGACACCTATGCTTATGCTGATTTATTTATCCAAAGAAATGTAATCTATAGGAAAATTTTTGAAACTAAAGATCCGTTACATATATTTTTGTTACCTGCAGCTGGGCCGGTTAGCTGATCGCGAATTTTTTCATAATGAATTTTTGCTGGGTTAACTGGGTTAAGTATTTGCGTTAAGTTGGGGATCAAACACTGTTGTAACTCGTTGATGTAATTGTGTCCATCAAATTAGTTCATATGGAAAAATTTTCATCTTCTTAGACAAATCATGACAGTTCTCAAAAAGCAACTGACCGATAGACATGACTAAATGGATTTAAATTCTTATGTTGTTTGAGTATAAATTATAATATGTCGGGTGGTGGTGTTCTTTTCTGATTTTCATACATAGTGTCTTCATGCTAGATGCTACTAGTCGTGAAAAGTGACCAATTCTAAATCAATATGTGTGATTAACTGTGTGGAATTCCATAATCCATATTCATATCCGTATCTATGAAATTGGAAGAAAATTATATGCGTCCGGTATATACGCACACACACCTGTCATACTTAATTTTATCTGGTAAACAATGTGTTTTGTATGAGTTATAAAGTATGTGAGAAAATGTATATGTTTTCCCTTAGAACCTCAAGTTTATTTGAGCACAACTAATTGTAGTTTATATGCATCCTACACGCACCTTCGCAAGTAATTTCCTTTTGCATCCAAACTGATCCGTTATGTCAAATTCCTTCCAAATAATAATAATAATACAAAACTTGTATTGCCATCAAATTCGGGCACCCTGTTAAGAGACAGAACGATTCCATCAATCCAAAATTTTAAAGCCAAAGCAATGCCCAAATAGTGCACACAATAGATTCCAACAACAGTTTCTTTCTTTTTAAAAAGCCGTTTTCAGTTCAGTTGAATATATTGAAAAAATATGGTTTACAGCGATTGTATTTATTGTGTATACTTAAAATTAAATTTAGTTTAAATTTTTATTACGTGTGAATATTATTAAAATTATATTCCTTATCTATTTACGAATGAAGTCGTTCTTATCATATCGGTTCAGAGGCTGGTGGTAGGATCGCATTTTTAGTCGACGGTATTCGATTGCTTTCGTAACTAGTCGAGGTTTCTGTTCCTTGTATTTACAAAGCAATATGTGTACGTACAACAAAATAACATTAGCGAATACCATCGACGATGGCCCATTAACGAGAACCATCCATTCAAAATGCTTATGCGGTATCGAGTACCACAACGAGAACAGTAAACCGACCCCGGGCCCCCCACACCTTGCTTTTTATTTGAACCCATCAATCAGTTTCTTTGGCTATTCGTAAGAAAGAAGCGGTTGTAGTGCAAATTAGTCCATTTTTGAGAAATTAAACCTCGTATTCTGGCATTGTAACCACTCGATAGTCATAAGGAGAAGCAACATCAAATGCTTGCATCAAATATTGAATTCCAGAGTAATACTCACATTAAAAAGTAAAAATATTTTTTTTGTTTTACAAAACGAACTATTGTTACGTCGCAAAACGAGCAAATAAATAAATGTATTATGAGTTGTAATGCCTTTGTAATATTGTTCATCTTTATTTCCAAATCGTTGTACAAAAGCCCTTCTTTCTTATCTCTTTTAATCATTACGCGTGCAATAAAGTCGGTTAGTACCGAGAATTTGTCCAAAATTGTTTGTCATGCGTCAAACTCTTAACTTGTTTTCTTTGCGTTATAATTATTGTTCGACTAGTAACGAGCGGCCTTCATTAGACTGAACAGTGTCGCGTATCGTTTTGCGTCTTCGCTCTGCTTATTTTTTCCTTTGCGTCAATTTATTTAAAACGTTTTTATTTTTCGTGTATACTTATGCAAGTGTTTTTGTAAGAGTTTTTTCTTTTTAAAGAAACAAAATAATACTTTCTTTTCGATTTGAATAGTTTTTCCTTATACGACTTGATAAACTAATAAAATGTTGTTTTCTTTTTTATTTTCTTCTTTTTTTTGTTTTTCTCTAGTTATGCTTTTTTCGCGTAGACGGAATTTTATAAAAAGGTGATTGATTGCTTGAAACTATTCTTGAATTTTTTTTTTTTTTAATTTTACTTATCCTTTTTGTTTTGTTTTTTTTTACACGTAAAAATTCTTTTCCATTGTAAACACATTTCTCGCTTATGATTGGTTTCGACATGAAAAGAAAAAAAAAAAAATATTTTATTTTCCCACTAAATTGTATAATAAATATTATTAACTTGTTTTTTTTTTTTTCTTCCTCTTTGCCTTTTTTATTTGTACAATTTATGGTCGTTTAGCATCCAATAGAGAGACAGTATTTACAAGTGAACGAAAAAAAAACAAAAAAAATTCCAAAATTTCATAAACATCAGGAAATTCATTACCATTTGTGCTAAAGGTTCAATATATATATATATATATATATATATATATACATCTATATATAATAAAATTTAATTTACTATCATACGCTTAACATATATAATAAAATTTTCCGCGCTTGTTATCACAGTTTCGCAAGTTCCGGTACTATTGTTATTATTGTTGTTAAAAATCGCTCTTAAATCACGCACCTTGAAACGTCTAAAGAACCATGAACGAAGGTTATACACTTCTTAATTTAATATTTCGTGCTACATTCATTCCCGGAGTGTTTATTATAGTTTGGCTAACTGGTTTGTAAGTATTGCTCTCTATATCATGCTTTTTAATTGCCTTCGTTTTCTAATCTAATTTCTATCGAAAACCAAGTAAGAAAGCTACCTACCCTAAACTAAAAATCCCTTATCTGCCACAAAACAAAAAAGAAGAAAATTTCAATCTCAACTTTTGAAATAAGAAATATTAAGTAATTGAAAAATTACGAAATCCAGTTTATTAATTCTAGAAACATATAACATACAAACAAACATCCTAATAATGATATCCAGAAATTGATTTCATATTTTCAATTCGCACGTTTGTCTGTCCAATAGTTTTGACATTTCCAATAGAAATTTCAGCAAAAATTTCGACGAATAATATTAATTTCCAAGTAATTTGGATGTAAGTGCTACTTATCGAACCATAACAATATAATGCGTTAGCGAAAAAAAAGAAAATATTTTCACACCTTTTGATTTATCTGTGATCTGTGATATCGAACTCTCAAGTCAATAACTTAATAATCTACAACCTAGAGTGTAAAATTTAGATTGGCCCATAAAAGCAAATGATGCTTATGGTGAACAAAGGTTTGAGTTAAATAAATATCTAGAATTCCCTCTTATTTTTCAGGGTGACTATAACTTTCTTGCTTGTTTTTGTTGCAAATAGTCTGTGCTCCTCTATGCTACATAGCATTTGCTTTTTATTTTTAGTTTTCATTTAAATTAATTTTTTATTTCCTCTTTTTCTCTCTCTCTCTCTCTCTATATATATATATATATATACATATATGTATCTATCTATCTCTATCTCTCTCTATCTATCTATCTATCTATCTTTTTATAAGAAGTTGAGAATTAGTTAATTTAAACCGAATTATATCCAACAAAATTCTTAATTCTCTATCACATATACGCACATACACCCATACACAGTATAATGCAATTGCATTCTCTCACCCCGCCCTTATTTCCCATTTTCCCGCTTTACGCGTTCTTTTGTAATTCAATCAATCGCATAATTTAGTTTCATTAGATGCAATTGAATCCGTATTTATTGTGTAAAAATTTTTTCTCTTATTTGCAGAATATCTTTAACAACAGTACAAATATGTTTAGCGGCATTCGGTTTAATATTTGTAATATTACCTTTAATATTCCGTTATTCTGTGACACTACAGAGAGGCATTCTATTTTTAACATTTAGTAAGTGATGTTTTTTTTTTTTTCTTTTTCCTTTAAATAGTTCTTCTCTCATATCTCATTCAAATCAATTTGACGAATTATAGTTACATATCCCAGAGATCTCGATTTAAGTAATCCGTCCAGCGTTGGCTTGTACGCGACGCGTAGCTTTTTTTTAAACGTTCGAGATAGTGATGTGGACAATGAAACCACAAATAACGAGGCGTCGAGGAAAACTTCAATAATACGCATAGGCATCTGGCATGTCCTCCCCAGACATGTTGCTAAACGTTTTGCCAAGGAGTTACACGTAAACACGGTACGTATTGCAAGTGCTTGCTTGTGCATGTAGATGATTGTTAAACTTTGTCTTTCTGCCTTAGGATGTTTTTGATGATACCGACAGAAATGTTACGGAAATCAAAGATGAAACACTCGATTTGCTCGAATCGGTTATGAAAACATCATTTCCGAATATAAATCGTGAAAATGAGAATTTCTTTTACGAACGTTTAATGAAGATGCCGGGAAATACAGTCATCTTGTATTTGCATGGTAATACGGCTTCGCGTGGCTCTGGCCATCGTTTGGATGTCTATAAAATGTTACGCAATCTGGGTTATCATGTGATAGCGTTAGACTATCGCGGATACGGTGATTCCGATCCCATATCGCCGACTGAGGAAGGCGTAGTACGTGACGCCATGACTGTTTACAATTACATATGTAATATAACTACAAATCCGGTCATAATATGGGGACATTCTTTGGGCACCGGTGTTGCAACAAATATGCTGTCACAACTGAACTATATGAATGAGAAGGGTCCTAAAGGTGTCATATTAGAGTCGCCTTTCACCAACATAAGAGACGAAATCAGACAACATCCATTTGCCAGAGTAAATATTTATTCTGATATCTCTTTTTTTATTGCTCATTATACACTAACACTTGTATTTATTTATATTTGGATAGCCCTTTAAACATCTGCCCTGGTTCGATTTGACTATAGCCCGACCTATGTATTCTAATTCTTTGCGCTTTGAGTCCGATCAGCATATCAGTGAATTTCGCCAACCAATCATGATTTTACATGCCGAAGATGATTATGTAGTACCCTTTCAGTTGGGCTATCAACTTTATCGTATTGCTTTAGATACCAGAGGCAAATCTTGGGGCCCAGTAGAATTTCATCGTTTCGAAGCTTCTCATCATTATGGTCACAAATATATAGTGCACGCACCTGAATTACCAGAATTGGTGAAAAATTTCGTTATCACTTATCGTAATGAAGTTTTTTAAAAAAAAAAAAAAAAAAAAAAACATTCTCTCATTTTTCACTTTACAGCCGTAAAAACAACCATACATTTTATACATCTGCTTAATAAATAAGTAGCTATTCAAATGCTGATTATACATTAGATAAATCTTTAGTCTAGAAATTTTCCTATTTGGACGTAAACATCAAACATAATTTGAAGCTTTCTAGTATTTATTTATATGAAATTTTTTTATTTATGTATTTCGATCTGATCTTCTTTCCATTCTCGCTAAGTCATAGTATTAATTATTTTTATTATTATCATTTTTTTTTTTCCTCATTTATATTTACTAATTAACCTATAACAAGAGTTGTATTAAAAATTCTGTGAATAAAATACATATAAAATAAACAACCACAAATAAAACAGAATAAATATTTTATTATGTAGACTATGCTATAATTACAACAATAATTTAAAAGGACAAAAGTTTTTTATTTATGACAAGTGAGAACTTTATAGTCGGGCGAGGCTGACTACTATATACCCTACACCACATTGTCGGAAAAATCCTGGTTAGGTTGGAATCCCAAAAATAGGTCGAGATCGTCCAAATTTTGTTCAGTTATTTTTTTGTATTAAATTGTTATGATATAATTTTCATCGTAAAGCATTGAAAATATACCTTTTTGTCGTATGAACTTCAGTTTTCGCTTTATGCGAGGGGAGTTCAAAAATTGTCTCAGCCGGTTCAAATTTTTTTATTTCGTTTAGAATGTTAAAATACTATTACTTAGCCACTTTTGCTGTGCTGTTTTGAAAATTGCAATTTTTTTCCATATTACGACTAATATGGCATTATGTATGGGGAACGGCCGGTTCCATCCGAAACATTTTTAATAGCGTTCGTCCTTGGATCAAAAAATGTTTCTGTAGCAAATTTCATCAAAATATCTCAAAAATTGCGACTTGTAGCTTGAATACAAATATACATGGACGGACATCAGACAAACAGACAGGATTAGATCAATTTAGATTATGATTCTGGATCGATCGGTATAGTAAAAGATGGATCTATATTAAGCTCTTCTGCGTTTTACACACGTCCGCACTAAGTTAATGCACCTCGTACCATAAGTGGTCTATAATCATTTCCTGCCTTCATTTAAGCGTTCGGAAGTTGCAAGATAAGGCCTTGTTACCCATCTTGAATTTGGAAACCGCGTTGAAACTGCGGTAGCTTTTAAACAGAAAGTTGAAAGCTGGGATGATTGTTTACAATCCGGCTCTTTCTACGCCCCTTCCACGAGTTCTTCGATCGAGTTAATAGCTATTTTCTTGATTCTCGGCCGCATTGTGAAATTATTACTGTTAAAGAGCAAATAACCGATGTCGACTACGGGATGAAGTCGGCGTTTTCTAATGTTATCGAATTCTATGCGAAGAAACACGAAGCGAAGACTGTGTTCATACAAAATTAAGAATATTGAAAAAAACTTTAACTGAATTCCCTTTAGATTCAGCGCTTTTTATCAATTGATCCTCATCATCTTCGGGAACATTCTCACTCAGGTTGTAGCATCCATTCTGATCCATTATTTACTCAAAAGAATCGTTTGCTGAATCCTTACATTTTTCTTACTCTAAATCTCGCAACTCTTTTATACATCAATGCGAACTATCCACCTGTTATAAAACTTCAGAGGAATGCATAGTTTGAGGTTGCAATCAAATAAGGCTGCCGCTTTACAAATTTCCCGCCAGACCAGAGCAATCGAGACGATAGATAGAATTTCGAACCCAGACTTATCGCATCTGCATTAGCTTAGGTTGGTAGCAAGCGGACTCTTATTACCGAAATCGAAGAGACAGGGCTATATTTTAATTAAATAAATTAAATTCTTTTTTAAAAGTATAAAAATGTTATAAAAATCTTTTTTGCTAAAGTAATCTGTCCGTGTGTAGCGGGGTATAAGATCTCGCTTAAACTTTTTACTACATCTATGAGAGTCTAGTTGGCTTCATTTTCGAAATCTTAATATATTTTAACAGCATTGTGATGAATTTGGGCTTTCAATTTAGCTCGTAATCCCACTAAATCTCTTTTTACATCAATGCGAATCATCCACCATCATGAAAAATTGAAAAGAAATTAATGAGAGGCACGAGAAATTGATAAAAAATCGATTACAAATTTGTATAATATATTAAATGAATGGAGCTTAAATGTAATTTGAACGAAAAAAATGAGTAAATGGTCCGACGAGCTTAATTAGAGATAGAGTGTCAATACACAAACTCCTCGAAACGAAGTCGAACAAATATGTTTACAAATCGATAGGTAAAAAAATTAAGATTTAATTTTTCTTTTTTCAAGTTTAATTTATAATATTATGTAAAGAAAATAAATGAAAAATAATAAAATTTTTGACAAAAAAATTCATTTTTTATTAAATAAATATATTATTATGGCATCCACATGAGATCAGTTGTGATGTCAGAGTAGCATGCTTTATGATGGACTTCTGTATAAATGCAAACAGTCATGCCTTGAATATTGGTTCCAAGAAACCAGAAGATAAGATGGCAAATATATTTGAAGACTTAGATACGTAGGCTGCATCTCAACAGGGGAGGTATATGAAATATTTCTTATCCATCGTACGATGTTTCCAACTTGCCACTTGATCTGGAAGTCCTGGGAGTGATGCTACAGACGGGCTTTTGGTTCGCCATCACTTAAAGATTTCAAATGTAGAGAAACATTAGTTAATTTTAATAATTAAGGTTATTTTATTAAATAATAATTTATTAATTCATTGAATTATTGTCAATTTATACATCTCTTTATAATCTTTATAAATAATCGTATAAATTCAGCACAAATTTAAAAATAAAAATACTTACTGCGATATAAAATTATTATTACTTGTTACTTTTATATATTTTTTTCAATATTTCGTCGTAATCGCATATCTGGCTTGACTGGACGTGTACAAAACGTGGCAAAATAAAATTTTCCAATTCAAAATCAAAGTTAAAGACTGAATTTTCTAGCCGGATCAAAAGCTACTTATTCTTCGTATCACGTTAAACGCGCCAATATATACTCTCCATCTAGGAAATATCATACATTATTTATCTTCTAATCTTTGGTTTCAATTAAATACATTAACAAATGGGACAAAGTATTTTTAATAAAGTATCGCTTAAATGGTAAAATTGATACAAGACCGGCATTGTTTTTAATCTTTTAAATTTTGCGTTTCTTCCATATTACTATGAATTTGCAAATCCTTAATTTAAGTAAATATTTTTTGTCAATTTAAACTGCAAATTGGCTGACGATCATTTTTTATCAGTGTTGCCCGCGTTATCAATTAATTTAAATAGTTGATCGATGTGAAAATAACAAACTCGGTGAAAATAACATATCAGGCAGTTACAAAAGAAATGAAAGATGCTCCATCCGTGAGATATATATTTTGTAAGACACTTTTTAATGTATCCATCATCAACATTATTCCGCGAATTCCCATTTTCTTCAAACAGTCGCATTAGGTTCCATTGTAAATTCCGAATTATGGCATTGCAATGATCTTGATAAAAATAATTGTGGACAAAAGATTTTTTTTTGTCATTTTAGTTTATTCGTAATAATAATAATAATAAGCTTTTCTGCCCCGTTAAGAATTAACGCATACGTTCTTTCGTATAGTGTGCCTGAGGCAATGGGAAGATCGAATTACATTTCAAACATCCGATCATCCATTAAGAATATATATATATACAGACTTCGGGCGGCGGCAGAAGGCGCTAAGGACAAAACAAACGTGTCTAAGTTGATATATACATATATATATATATATATATGTATATATAAATATCTAAATATATTATATTTATAATACATTATATATTGTAGACTTTTTATCCTCAACTTTTGGAAGTGGGAATAGTGTAATAATGTTTTAGGAATTTCTATTAGGAAATACAACACTGTCTAGTAAGAAAACAAAATAAAGACAAATCGGTAAAATAAATGAATAAGAAAATAAACATGCTAACTCTCTTATTCGAGAAACGGTTAAAAAGCTGAGTAAGAAGATATTGCCATCTCTCTATCAACAAACAAAATCATTTCTCATTTAACACAGTCATAACATTTTCTTTGGTCGCGGATTAATTTAAGATCAGAAAAAAAAAAAAAAAACAAGGAGATAAAGAAAAGGCATTTATAAATAAACAAATTATGGAAGTTATTCGGTTAAAAACTAAATAATTAAAAGATAACACACAGGCGATAAGAAAAGTGAAAGAAAAGAAGCAAGTTGATAGTTCCTTGAAATGAAGCTGATTGAATGAATTTCCTTTAGGGAAAATTTTTCAAATTGTAAAAGAGTTTTAATTGAAAGAAAGTATATATTTTAAGAAAAAATAAATTTGCCAAAAGAAGATAAAGGAAGACAATATAAGTCTTGCTTTTTAGAAAAAAATTAAAAAAAAAAAAAAAAAAAAGTGATTCTCTGTATTGTTCATGTGTGTGCGTGCACTTGTATACACGAGTACGAGTGAAGTTGTTTCTCCCTTATATTGCCGCCCTGCTTTTCCTCTTTTTTTTTTTCTATCAGAATTGCGAGTGTAAGACAGCAGTGCAGTCGGGGTGAATGTGTGTGCGCGTATGAAGTGTAAAAAAACCGATAAATATCCAGAAGAACTCTGATGAAGCAAGAGAAAAAGGAAATTAACGTCAAGCGAAACTAGCAAAAATAACACAGAAAACACAATAGGAACAACGGCAACAACAAAGCATACACATATCTCTTAAATAAGAAGAGGAAAAAGAAGAAGAAGAGTAGCAGAAAGAAAAAAATCAGTGAAAGGAAAGTTTGACGAGTGCTCGCTTGTACTCGATGTGTGGGTTATGTTAAATAAAGTGCATTTTTTATAATAAGGAAACATTTTTTTAAAAGAAGAGATTCTCTTAAATTCCTTTCTAAATATAATAAAACTTTATTTATCATTATTTTCTCTATTACAAAAACATTTGATTGAAAATTTTAAAGAAAAAAATTATTGAATAAAAAAAAAAAAGAAAAAGGAGTTGCTTCCATATATTATGGCAAAGGGAGAGAGCGTGAGCGAGAGAGAGAGTGAGTGAGTGTGTATTTCTCTGAATAATCACCCGTTCTGTGTTGTACATTAGAGAGCGAGTTAAGCAGATTGTGAGAGAATTTGGAAATAGAAGTTTGTGTATTTGTGAAAATATAGAAACCAAGCAATGTGTATTTTTTGATTTTAGTTAATCTTAACAAATTTTTTTGCAATAAGAAAAGGATACGTATGCGAAAACAATTAATAAATGTAATTATGTGGTAAGTTTTAAATAAATTAAGGCAAAGCAAAATAAATTAAATCTATTCGATGC